ACACAAAAAGGGTCGTTTAAATAAAACAAGAGCTTTAAAAGCGAATAAAATTTCCTGCAAAAGATGATTCAGATGTGACATTTCCACTAAATGTTGAGGATGTTCTGAAGATACAGATAATTGTTTCCTTTCATAATGTGAGCTGTGAATTTCTGACTATCTTCTGACAGATTTTCATGATGCATATTAAACAGCACAACAGTGATGATCTCTGCTTCTCACCCACTTACTCCCTCTTGTGTTCTGTTGCTATTCCTGTAGAGCAGCTCTGAGTCAAAAAAAAAAAAAGAAAGTCCTGCAGGAATCAAACAGGAAAACACTGGTTTTACATGCAACCGCACAACAGGCGAGATGATTGAGCTGAAAGCGGCCTTGAAACATGGCAAACACCTGCAGCGGTATCAGTGGTGGAGGAAGTATTCACTATAGCAGCTGCAAATCTTCACATTTGAGAAGCTGGACCCATGAAACGATTTTCCAAGAAAAACGATCAAAATAGTTTTCCAATTCATTTTTAGTTGATCAACTAGTTGATTAATCTAATCATGAATTCAGCTGTACTTGTATAAACTGTTGGGTAGTTTAATTTACGAAAAAACCATCACATTTTATATACTCTTCATATATTCTGTCTGCAAAAATAGAAGTATAAGCAGAACATAGAAATACTCAAGTCAAAGAAGTACCTCAGATGTGTACTAAAGTCCAGTACTTGAGGAAATGTACTTAGTTACATTGCACCAGCTTCAGTCCTATTATCCTGTTCATCCACTCAGCTCCCACATGCAGCACTTTGGTCTCTTCTGAGTTCATGAACCAGTTAAGAAAATAACTGACAAAACTCTCAAAATACAAGCAAAATCCCTCGTAATAGTATGCATTATGTTACTATATCGCTGTATAATATACAATACTATATAATGTGTATATATTTTTGTGACTCATTCTTTAATTAAATAATCATTCTTTAATTAAATACACAAATCAAGCTCTTAAATTATGCTGGAAACCACGTGTAAATTACATCAAAGAAAAAACATATTGTACAATATATAATATCATTTCATTTTCTAAATCAACATCATTATTTACCTTTACTTTGCTGTTCCCTTATAGCTCCATAACTTACTGCATGGAAGTCCAAATACACATAAAACAAATACAGATTTCATTCTTCAAAAGAGAGACATGAAAATTATAAACTTTGCTGAACAAACTCACTTTTTACTTTGTAAAAGACTTGTAAATATCTCAAATCATGTCAAAAAAGCAATTATTCATTTTTTTATTGGAAACTACTTTGATTTTTTAGTTATTTCAACGTTTCATGGTTCCAGCTAGTCGAATGTGAAAATGTGCTGCTTTCCTTTAATTATTGTCAATAATGTGGTAATAATGTTGAGGTTTGGACTGTTGGTTGGAAAAAACTGTCATAATATTAATGAATGTCATTGACTTACTTACATACTTTGCTTTTACTTAAGTACAATTTCCAATGCAGTACTTTTAATTATAACAGAGTATTTTAAAGTGTGGTATTTGTACTTTTACTGCAGTAAAGGATCTGAATACTTCATCCACTACTGTTGAATAATAAAATTAAATGTATGAAAAATGTAAAACGTAGCTGGAACTATGAAACGTTGAAATAACTAAAAAGTCGAAGTAGTTTCCAATAATATATTTTCTGTCAATCTAATTGATTAATCAACTAATTGAGTCAGATGAACTTTAATTTATAACAATTTGTTGTGTGTGAAAAAGATCTTGATTTGTAAAATAACTAAAACTCTCAGATAAACATAGTGGAGTAATATTTCCCTCTAAGAGTTAGTGGAGTAGAAGTATAGCTTTATTGGACTAGCGTCATGTGACCAGAATCCCAACATCTCGCGATACTTGGTGGAGCTATAAATACCTCCGCGACCGACCCTCTGTCTTTCTTTTCTCCCGTTAGCGGTGAAGGTGCAACAGTAAATCGGTCGTCCCGAACCCGGGTTCATCCGACACCCTCACCAACCAAGCTGAACTCAGCTCAACCTCCACAGCGGCAACATGCCTCCCAAATTCGACCCCAACGAGATTAAGATCGGTATGTTTTCAGTGTCTACTGGGTAATAAAAGCAGACGCTTGTTCAGATCCAAGATGGAGTCGTTCCGTGTCTGCCGGCCTGTGAACGGCGTAGAGAAAACGGTAAAGAAACGGGGCACGAGACGCGACGAAGGAAAAGGGGGAAAACAATGTCTGAAATAACTTCTGCATGTTTAAATGTTTTCATCAGGAGACCTTTTGGTTGATTTTGACTGGTTTGATGGGGAATGTGGTGACTAGGATTCCACGTGGGATGACGGCTAACGTTAGCTAGCTTAGCTAACGTTAGCCTCGTAAATGTGGCAATTTAGGTTCGGTTTGACTGTTTGATTTAATATTTTTAACCTCATTCAACTTCTGAATATCTAACGATCGAGTCTTTAAATCATTTTGATGATAAATTAATCACTTATTAATTTAGATTAAATGTGTAAACATCTTGGATTGTTATGTAGATTAATATAGTTTAATATTTAAATGAGTCCTGTTAAAGTTTATCATTACTCAGAATGTCTGTTAAAGCATTTCTGATTCAATAATAAAATGCCTGATGTTTTCAGGTTCTCTTTAACTGGTTGGTTGAAAGTAACTTAAATCACATTCAGCACTGGGAATTGTGTGTTTTGACACTTTATAGATGCAATTATTCCTCCCAATATGATTAATGGTACTGTTAATATATAAACATAAATAGTAAGTTGGTGGCTGCTGTGAAGCAGCATAAAAGTTATTGAAATAAATTATGAGTACTTTTATAATTCAAATTATAAATGCGCATACAAAACAGATGACTGTTGGTAAGATGTTTGTTTTTTTTTTGGTGGAATGTCAATCTAACTGCAATCTGCTCGGCTACTGATCTTTATTGTTAAGTGTGAATGTTAAAACTTTTCATAGACATTGGTTATCAACCCTGCGTCTGAGGCTCTGAAATATTTAATATCACTATTGGAGAGTATTGGTTAAAGGTTGCAACATATAAATCTGGTAGGATATTCTTCGAGTCGTTCTTGTATTGCTCTATAAAGGTTTCTGTTCAGCCTCCCGCCACTATGCCCGTCTGTCAGTGACTGAGTATAATCCAGTGGAGGCTCAGAGTGACCCGGCTTTAGGAAACAGGTCTGCCCCAAACTCATGGACAACTTTGTGCCAAAAGACTGGAACAAATCACCGTTAACTAAGTTTATAAGTGTATTTATCTCATCAGTTTAAACTGTTCACCTGGATTTTGTTTGTAGTGGTTGGCCTTTCACACACGACATGTTGTCTGTTAAAGTACTTTGTGTTTATGTATTTAGTGTACAAATGTAAATGAGAGTCTGCATAAGAAATGTAGCAAGCAAATCTGCTTATCGTGATATATTTGAACAATGACGGACGTGAAGCAATTTTCACTTTACAGTTTATACACCGGGTAAATAGTTTATCTCATGCTAAGTGTCATGTTTTGTTTCTTAAACTCGTTAACTAAGAAACATGTTGGATTTCAAACGGCTAAATAATCTGAATGCAGATGGTCTTTGTACAAAATAATTTAATTTCTAATGAGCAGTGTAAAACCTGGCTGTGCTCCATTCAAAGTGTTTATGTTTTTGTAGCAATGATGGAGGTGTTTGGAGTTAAATTGCATGTGTTGATGGCTGAGCCCTTCTTAAAATAAAAGTCATGATCCTGGAATAATTCCTAATCGTGGTGAGTCTCTGCAGACTACAGGAGAGTAAAAGATATTAAAATGTCTGCAGTGCTCCATGTGAAGCTGTCCTAAATGAAACCCGTTGCTGCGTCAACTGAAGCCCTTTAACCAGTTGGTGCTCACGTGTCTCTTCTTTGTCTTGCAGTGTACATGCGATGCACAGGAGGAGAGGTTGGAGCCACCTCAGCCCTGGCCCCCAAAATCGGACCTCTGGGTTTGGTGAGTGAAATGAAAATGTCGTAGTTCAAACTTACAAACAAACCACCAGCCTCCCGCCACTATGCCCGTCTGTCAGTGACTGAGTATAATCCAGTGGAGGCTCAGAGTGACCCGGCTTTAGGAAACAGGTCTGCCCCAAACTCATGGACAACTTTGTGCCAAAAGACTGGAACAAGAACCGAGACTCCCTTTGTTATCCCGGATTATGTCTGAAACGAACTATATTTTCATAATGTAGCTTTGTTGTAGTGGCGAAACGGACCGCATTTAATATGGGTTGCACCTCTACTCTGTTGTGAGTGAAGCCATTTAAATCAGTTTTATTTCATCTGCTGATCCGCTCTGTTTTCTCCTCAGTCTCCCAAGAAAGTTGGTGACGACATCGCCAAGGCCACCGGTGACTGGAAGGGCCTGAGGATCACCGTGAGGCTGACCATCCAGAACAGACAGGCAGTGGTACGACACGGACCTCATTACCTCCATTAATACCTTCATTAACCCCTCGGCTTTGTGGAGGCAGCAGCGCGCCTTGCTGTGATAATGACTTTCCTGTTTTGCGCATCTTCTTTCTCTAAGGTGGACGTCGTTCCCTCTGCGTCTGCTCTGATCATCAAGGCTCTCAAGGAGCCTCCTCGTGACAGGAAGAAGGTCAAGAACAGTAAGTTCACTGTGGCCTTCTGCAGAAACACTTTCATCAAAAGTGGATTGACTGCATTTCTAACCCTCCGTTCTGTTTTTTTTTTTTTTTTTTTTTTTTTTTCTCCCCCCCAGTCAAGCACAGTGGAAGTGTGACCTTTGACGAGATTGTGACTGTTGCTCGCACCATGAGGGCTCGCTCCATCGCCAGAGAGCTCTCGGGTAAGAACGACACCGGAAGCTTCTGAATGTGAATTAGTCTTTTGGTCGCTATCGCAGTAGACTAAACGTTCCTCTATAATCAGCCCATATTATTCTGAGTCATTCTTGTATCGCTCTATAAAGGTTTCTGTTCAGCCTCCCGCCACTATGCCCGTCTGTCAGTGACTGAGTATAATCCAGTGGAGGCTCAGAGTGACCCGGCTTTAGGAAACAGGTCTGCCCCAAACTCATGGACAACTTTGTGCCAAAAGACTGGAACAAATCACCGTTAACTAAGTTTATAAGTGTATTTATCTCATCAGTTTAAACTGTTCGCCTGAATTTTGTCCTCGTTTTGCTTTTTAAGTGTGCAGCCTTTCACACAACAGAATTTGTGTTTATGTATTTATTTAGTGTACAAATATAAATGAGATGGTAATCTGCAATAAGAAACATGGAAAACAAAAATCTGCGTATCGTGATCTATTTAAACAAGACAGACGTGATGACTGACTGACTGTATGTTTTGTTTCCGTCTCCGCTCTCAGGAACCATCAAAGAGATTCTGGGTACCGCTCAGTCTGTTGGCTGCACCGTTGATGGGCGTCCTCCCCATGATGTCATCGATGACATCAACAGCGGCAAAGTCGAGTGTCCATCCGAGTAAAGGAACGCAAATAAAATGTTCGCAAACTGAACTCCTCGTGTTACACTTTCTTCTTTTTATCCTTGGTTGCTTGTAATATGAGATGTTGAAGTATTACAGCAAAGTACAATTTTAATATACTTGTGCTGCTCTGACATGATCTGAAAGTCTGTTACTGTAACGGCTAGTTTTCTGTCCGAAAAAACAACTTTAAGGTGATTTGATATTCAGAAATATGAACCAAGCCTCATCTTGCTCAGACTGAGGCTTCAGCAAAGTCCTTCAGGGTTTAATTTCCCACAATTCATTGCAACGTGGTGTCAAACACGGGGTAACCAGTGGAAGCATGGAGATGTAAACAAAGAGGATGGCACATTCAGCCTGTTTTAAATTTACACGAACATTACAGAACCAAAACTCATTTTATCACATTTGTCATTGAAGCTGTTTTGACAAACAAGTAAATTATTTTAAATGACCATCTTATGAGGAAAGAGCCTGGAAGATGTTCAGCTCTGAGGTCAAAGTATAAAATACCCACAATTGTACATGTGTTGCAGCAAAGTGCTGTCCTGTTCCAGTTCAAGCCCCCAGTCTCTCACTCAACCACGGACCAGGTGACGTCTAAGTCCTTCGGGGTAAGGCTAGGGGGGCGCTGTGACCCGGCCTTAGGGTCACCATTACCTGTCAGCTGCCATGAGACCTGTGGAGGCAATCCCTCAATCACTGCTCTGAATTTGGGAATGAGCACTTTTAAAAAATACCTTAGATGGGCAAAATCGGCTCCATGTCTAATTTATAAGTTAAAGTACTGCTTGCAGTAAGCCTCAAATGAAACTTCAGTATACTGATGGGTTTCTGCAGAGTAAAGTTATACTTTTGAGGAACATTTATTTTGCTACTTTTACAAAGGATCTAAATACTGTTTGCCACATATGGTTATGTTCACATGGAAAATTTAAGTTCTGAGTAAATTGTGTAAAAGTCACATTTTACACATGGCCCCGATCCTCTTCTGAATGAAATGTACCTAAAGGTAAACCCTTTAACACCACGATGGATCCCAATGAAAGGAATCTGACATGTTTCATTACATTATGGCCTCTTAACTGTGTAATGTTCTCATAGTACATCAATATGAGCAAGTTTTACTAAAGTTTGTATTTTAATATTGAAGTTACTTTTAGTTGTTGGGACACTGATCAAACAATTGGTAATTTGTCCTTCAAACTCTAAAATGTTGCATAAGTTTAAATTGGCTATTTCTCAGCCCGAGTAACAAAACCGTTGTGAGAGCAGTTTATACAGTCAGTTGTGAATCAGTTTCACTTTTTATACAAAATATTTATTGAAAATCTCAGCCAGTCATTTACAATTCTACAAAAGTATAAATGGTTCAAAAACTCAGATCAGGAACAAAAAGGACTTTTTATACTGAACACTTCAGCCATCACTCTTTAGCGTGAATCTTCCAACACTATCACATTTAGCTGTTGTACTTGTGCTCTTGGTATTTGTGTTGAGTATTTTGTCAAACAGTACGTATAAGTATACAGGAGAAAACACCTTATTACAGTACAATACAAAAAAAACAAAAACACCGTGCTTAATTCAGAACTAGTGTTTAAATTTTGCACCAAAAGCTAGAAACTAATTTCAAGTCACGTTTTAATTTATTATTCTTCGACAAAGAAGTTCCCCCCCGACTTAACATCTAGATTAGACGGTGTAGCCCTGTTTACGTCTGGTATCTATTGAAGTCCTGGATCACAAGTGGACAGCGAGACCCGGTGAGATCTGATCCTTCAAACCTCTTCCTGACGTTGGGACACATTTGACCTAAACACCGATGAGTCCACGCTGAGGACGTGACAGAAGATACATCCTCAAAGCCTCCGCTCCTCTTTTTGTTCCTCATGGAGATATTTTACCACTGTGTCTGTATTGTTTTGATTCCTGGCAGACGAAGCGGCATCGCTGCCTCCCTCCAGATTAAAACGACACATCTGGTCTTTGCAAAAGGGAAACGATGTTCATGTTGATATGTGAACAGAGCAGAGACGTGTGATCATTGGAGACGCATCTGAATGAAGCTGTGAACCGACGTTCCTCAAGCTGTCCGCTCGTGATCGGATCACACAACACGCATGTTAACAGGGCCGGTTTTAGGAACTTTTGCGTTTATATTTCTTACTTTTAAAAGGTGGAACAACGCGACTATCAAAACATTTCAACTGACTGGACACTGGTCCAACTACTCTCTACGTTCTCACTCCTTCCTTTAAATTGATTGACAAGCGTATTTACCAAAGTGTGATCAGTTATTTAACTCTCTGCCGGCTACTGTATGTCATTCACTGTCAGGAACAGTGTTTGTATCAAAAGGTAACGCAGATATGTACAAAAGAAGAAGATAAAATGGACCAGAGATCAGGAAGTGCATGATGTAGTTTGATTGTGCTGAAGACAGCAGCTGCACAAAGAAGTTATTAATGTAACCCCATCTCTCCTCTGAGCTCATCCTGCTGCTCTGTGAACCAGGATGTTTTGATTCACGGTGGCTCTGTGATGACCGAGCGGCACTTAAACGCACCGCGTCCCATTTCATGGCCCGCTCTTCGTCAGTTCTCCACCTCGTCCTCCTCCTCTTCCTCTTCCTCCTCCTCCTCCTCCTCAGCATCATTCTCAGCTTCAGGCTCCTCCTCCATGCGCTGCTCCTCCTCCTCTTCCTCCTCCCTGCTCTTATCGTTCTCGGAGTCGGCCTTCTTCTCTTTGTCTTTACGTTTCTGCTCGGACACTTCCTTCTTTCCCCTCTGGCCCTTCTTGTACACTGGAAGAGGAACACAAACGAACATTAACATCTGTACAACCATCAGTATTGTGTTTAGTAATACAGATGTGTTTTACAGCAGCAGCACAGACATGTTTCTTTAGTTCAGACTGTAAGTGGACAGCGTTCTGGGGTCAAAACTGAACTACTAATTACTTTTACATTAAAGTAACAACAGAGATCAGGTCTGACCTGGAGCATTTATGAATGCAGTCACAGACTTATTTTTTTATTTATTTTTTTTAAATTCTAGTCGAAGTCTGCGACGATTGAACACTTATTGTTTATCATACTTATTCATAACTGAAGCACTGACCTTCCAGAGCTTCTCTGAGCGGCTCTAGGAATCTCTCGAACTCCATCTCCTCCATCGCAGCCAACACGTCTCCTGCGTTCAGAGTTTTACGTTTGGCTTTCATGGCAAAGTTGTTGGCACTGCAATAAGACCAACAGAGAAGAAAAAATACATTATTGAACGTTTATTGAATGAGTGGTGTAATGAAAACATTTCACTAATAATATTCAGGTCTCAAACTTGATGACTGAAGCACTCCGGAGAAGTTCTAAGTTGATTTTTAACGCCTGAACGGATTTTGTGAATCAAAAGTCAAGTGCTCGGTTTCAGTCGGAGGGTTTTTGTTCTCACCAGGACGTCGCATACAACACGAACACACTGGCAGCTTGAGATATGGCTCTCCTGGCTTCTTTAGACACGTTCACCCCATCTGGGAGCTGTTAGGAAAACAAACGGAGCGGAGGAGTTAACTCAAAGCTACAGCAGTATATGTATGTATGTATGTATGTATGTATGTATGTATGTATGTATGTATGTAT